GAGTAGAAGCTAAACCCTATATATCATGTCCTTAATTATGATCTATATATATATATTAATAATAATAATTATTATTATTTCTATGTCAAATAAAATATTTTTACAAATCCCAACAACATCATTAAACTATTTTTAATTACATTCCAAATTTTTAAACAAAAACAACAATCAAATTGAATTACTTTGTTATGAAAACCAATTATATAAAAAGGTATTATCAAACTATATACTAAGTCATAAAAATCCCTAAAATATACCATATTAAATAGTACTCTTAGATTTTAAATTAAACATGAACAAGCTTCTATAATATTAAGATTAGAGAAAGATGAATGCAATTTTAAAGAATATATTTTTCTTGATAAAGCTGAACCTTGGGAAAAAAAATTAAAATCTAAAATACCTTAATTAGATTATCAAACTTATTATGAATTGGAAAAATTAGTAGGTAATGGTAGTTTTGCATCTGTATATATTGCTAAGAAGAAATCAGATGGATCTAAAGTGGCAATTAAGGCATTTCTTAAGAAAATGTTAATAAAAAAGAATCCTAATTCTTGGAGAGTATTCATTAAATTCTAATTTAGTTAACAATAGAAAATGAGATAAAGGTGATGAAATCATTAGATCATCCAAGTATCTTAAAGTTTTATGATCATTTTGAAAATAGAGCTTAATCATATATTGTGATGAGTTTGGCAAGAGGAGGAACATTAGAATAAGGATTAAAAAAATTAGAAGAACCTTTACCATTTTTAAGTGTTAAAGTTATTTTTAGATAAATTGTTGATGCAATTAAATATTTACATGATCGAGGATTTATGCATAGAGATTTAAAACCTTGCAATATATTATTGAAGAAACCAATGTCATTAAAATAATTTTCACTTATAGCATAACAAGATCCAAATATAGTAGTAAGTGATTTTGGAGTGAGTTCAGAAATAAAAAATGATATGGATATTGGTAAATATTGTGGATCTATTGGATTTATGGCACCTGAAATATTTCTATGTGAAGAAGATAATAAGATGACTTATAATGAAAAATGTGATATCTTTAGTCTTGGTTGTATTCTCTATAGATTGTAATAAATTTAAATATATTAGAATCACAAATAAACCATTATTTAATGCCCAAAATTAAATTGCTTTGAAATAGTTGAATAAGGAATGTCATTTTGATTGGATTAAAATTAATGAAGAGTTGTATAATAGTAAATAATTGACACATTTATTGATGAAGATGTTATCTATAGATCCAAATAAAAGACCTAATTGTTCAGATATTCTCAAGACTAAAATTTTAGAAGTAGAATATGATAATGAAGGATGTCCCTTATTTATTAATTATAAGAAGCCAAAATCTTAATCTATTTAATCAGTGAAAACTTCTAGACCTTCGATAAAATCGATTAGTAATAATAGATTACCGTTTGTATCTCCTAATCTTTATTATAATATTCAAAATAGTAATAAACCTTAAAACATAAGATCAGGAAATCTTCTATTACCTCCTATCAATAAGAGATTACAAACAGAATAATGTTAATATTGATGATACTCTATATATATTTTGTAACAAAATTATGAAAGTATAAAAATCAGTAAACTTATGTTGTAGTTGGTCTATCTAATTCTTTATACAATCCCTATTATTATAGTCTGACCTCTTTATTTTTGATACTATTATATTTCAATTTCTAATTATGTTATTTCAAAAGATTACTTAATTTTCATTGATTAAAAGAGTCTCAGATCCAATGATACTTTCTCTTATTTCTACAGTTCCAATTTAATCAATTAATCTTTCATCTCTTGTAAACAACACAGTAGTTTTATTATTACCCATTATTCCTCTTACATTTTAAGTCAAGGTTGATAAATTTAAATAACCCTTATAATATTAAGTAAATTAACTTACTTGATATATAATATTATCATCAATTGAGATTTCACATTCCTTTACTCCTCTAACAGGTGTTTTACTATAATTATAAAAGGATATGGCAGATATTTATTATGGAGTATCAAATAGTAATATTAATTTATTGACTTAATAACTAATTTGATCAAAAACACTCGAATTTATATTTGTTTTTAATCTATCTGTATATGAATTAACGAAAGGAGATAACCACATTTATTTAGCATCTAAAGTTATATTAATATTATTAAATAATTTATCTGGTGTTCTGACATCCATTTCCATTTAAGGTAATTCTTTAACTGAAAATGGTTTTGCAAATAATTTTGGATAAAGCTATTCTCCATTTGGATCAAATATTTCAATACCATTTAATCCAATATAATGTAAATCACCCCAAGTAGATAATAATTTAATAACTATCTTTGTGCCTTAAGGTAATTATGTAGTTTCATAATCTTAATATATATTTCTTTCGAATTAGTAATTTACCTTTACTATTTCTATTCTTCTCTAATATGGTAATTCAATTAATTGAGGTTCATTAACATCACTTAATCCATGTCCTTTTCTCAAATAGATGCCTTACTTAGAATTTAGAATTTGATTATCTCCTTTTATGTTAATCATTTATACTCCTTTTTCTAATTCATCTTCTTTATTATAATTCCAAATTGCAACTCTACTAATTTAAGTTGGTTAAATAAAAACAAATTAGATCTTTATTTTTCCATTATTTAATTACCATCTTTCATCACTATTTACAACAGTCTCAGATTAAGATGTAATAACTTTATATTTCTTTATTTTCATTGATTATCCAAATTTATCATGAATATCAATTTTATCAAGTCCAATAAATTTATCACCCCAATTTCTTATTAAATACAATGTTAATACTTTTACATTAACTGTTGGTAAAGTCTTAACATTAATTTAATTTTGAGATGAGAATAATCTTTTTGGATGTTATTGTAATTTAGATTCAGATTCCTATCTTATTATTTATGGAATTGAATCTGATTTTTAATGTTAATAATCTTTATTAAATTAAGAATTAAGATTATTATTTGCAAATTTTTATGCTGTTATTTCACCTTTTGGTTTATTAAATGTTGCTGTATCTGGTCTACTTAATTTAACAGTATTTTCTAGAATATGTTTCTACTATTATATTTAACTTTCATGTAATTTATTAAGCCAATCCTATTCTTAGATTTTTTCCATAATCTATGGATTATTAGTAAACATTATATATTCAGCATTATCTATACCACATGTACCATTAGCTTATTTAATTTCTCCACTAAATATTGAATCTGTATCCAATACTATTTCAATATTACGAACACATTTAGCTCTATATGTTCTACCTTTATTATAATTCCAAATTCTAATCATTGATAATTTAGTATCATTAAACTTTATTGTAATTTCCATATTTTTATCTATTCTTTCAATACACATATTTTTATCATCTTATGTTAAATAATTATCATCAAATAAAACAGCAGCATTTCTAAAAAATCCAGATACTGAATTTATTTTAACTTTTTTGCCTTTATAATCAAAGATTTCAATTCCTGTTAATCCAATTGAATAAAGATCTCCCCAATTTTTTAAAAATTTAATTATTAATTTTGATCCAAAAGGACATTCAGGTATTGATATATTTTTAGTACGAGTTGATATAGTTCCTGCAGCAATGTGAGCAACTCCTCTTTTAAAATTAGGTTATGGACTAGTTGAATCTTCTTCAGTTAATTATTTTTAAGAAAATAAATTAATAGATTTTTTGAAGAATCTCTATTAATGCATTGTTTATTTAGTTTTAACTGAAGAAGGTTCTTATTTTTATTCAATTTTTTTAAATTTCTTATCATCATCAAAAGGATCAAATATTAATTTAGGTTTTGCATGTTTTTATTGACTAGATGCCTTGGATAAATTAATTCTAAATATAAATATAATTAGTATTACTCTTTATTTTCATCAGATTTTTTTGAATTAATAGATTGTAATGATTAATTAAATGGTTAAGTAGTATCATTTTAATTCTTAATTCGAGTTTCATTATCTTTTATTGTATTAATAATTTATTAAGGTTATGGTTCTAATTCAATAATTTAAGCATATTCTGAAAATGTATTAGCTACTCCTCTAGCAATTTAACCTGACCATAATATTTAATCATTCTATAGGATTTCTAATTCACAAACACATTTATCTAATTCTTTTCTATTTTTATTAAAATTCCATATTTTAACAGATGTGAGAAATTCAGATTCTTCCTAAAGTAAATAACATACTGTTATAGTAATTGGGAATTATTTAAAATTGGTAATCCACATTTATTCAGGATAAATTGTTAAATTATGACCATTTATCAGATTATTAATAGTATTATGGGAATCATCATCAGAATATATGCAATTGATTTTGACATATTTCTTGTTATTATTCAACAATTCAATACTAGTTAAACCAACCTAAGTTTTGTTGCCATAATTTGAATGGATTTTAATATGTATTCTTTTACTTTTAAAGAAAGAGATGAGTTCTTCATGTTTAGGTTAACCATTTTCAATAGATGCTAGAATTTGTAGTACTAATTCTTATTCATATTGTGGGAGTTTTTGTATTCTATTAAGTTCTTGTTAGTATGTAAAAAGAATACCTTGTTTCTAGATTATTTAAAATTTATCTCTCTACGTTAGATGTTGGAATTGTTTTTTATTAAGCAATGTAAGTTCTTGGTTTAATTAAAGGTTTCTAATTGAAATATCTAATAGTTCTTACATGAAGTTTTTCTCCATCTCTAATTGATCGATTGAGTATGGCTGCTTATTTACCATCTAATGATTTCATGAATGATAGTATTGTATTGTCTGGATTCATTTCTTACTGAACAATAGGAGGCTTTGTAATTGTTCTAGCAGTACTTGAGACTTATTAAATTGGTTTAGAACTATGATGACGTGGAGTAGCCTATTTTTCGAGAGGCAGTCTTTAAACACTCATATTTTATTATTTATTAACTAAGTATTGGGATTTTTATATTACCAAATTTTAATTAATGGGTGAGATTGTGACTAATTAGCTTTTCGTAGCTGGATACAGTCGTAGCAAAGTGACTGATGAAAGAGATGTTAGGGAAATTTTTAGAAAGTATGAGTCTGTCAAAGAAGTGGCATATAAAGGGTCTTACTCTTTTATAGTAACTCTTTTCAATTTAAATTCACTTAGACTTTTAGCAATGAAGATGAAGCAAAAGAGGCTCTTACAGAGATGAATGGTGCAACACACAATGGCTAAAAATTAAAAGTGGATGTTGTTGACAATCGTAAAGGGAGAAAAACTGGACCAAATGAAAGTGATTAATGTTTCAAATGTGGAAAAGGAGGACACTGGTATTGAGTTAATTCAATATTGATAGGGCTAGAAATTGTCCTAAAGGCGGCAGATCACCTCATAGAAGCAGAAGATACTCTAATTCTAAATCTAGGTTGTTAAAACATTCTATTATAGACATCATAGAAGAAGATCTGATTCAAGATCACGTTCTTCTTAATCGTCTTCACGTTCCAGAAGAAGAAATAGAGATCACCGTAATAGACGTAGATATAGCAACAGTCCTAAGAGAGGCGATGAGTAAAAAAAGGGAAATCACAACAAAAGAAGATCACCTTCAGACTCTTAATTTCATTCCAAGTCTTGAATAAGCATGGGCAAAAACAAAAACACATTTTATTATTCAACATTATTCTAATTTAAAAAATAAGCTCTTTTTCCGAATTGATTTACAATATTCCCTGAACATATATAATAATAATCATTCATCAAATTTTGCTCACTAATTTATTTGTTAATTTTCTTACTTTCTTAAGCACCCATTCTTGAAATCTATGATAATTCCTCGCTAACTTCTAAAAAGTGTGAAAATGCAAATGGAGCAATTAAAAATATTAATCCTTATTTTCTTTATCACAATTTTATACCTGTTGTTCCAACCCATAAAAATCTTCTTGACTATTTATATAAATATCTTGGATTCAACCATCCTGTTTAGAAAAATCTAATTAACTTTCCCCATAATCCTTTAGCAGGCTTCTATTAGTTTTGGCTTTAAGAAGCATTTGATCTATTTCCAACACCATATCTAGATGAATTCATTAAAATATTTAATTATTTATTGCCTTAATTATTTTTAAATAATCTTTACTTTTAATTAAAAAAATTAAGAAAAAAACTCCGAAAAGGCGGATTTGAACCACCGACCTGGGGATAACTGGATAACACTACAGTCCCTCGCTCTACCAACTGAGCTATTTTCGGATGTTAACATTTCAATACTATCTCTCTATTTATTTCCATCAAAAGAATTATTAGATTGCATCATATCCAATTCAATTATTTTATAGGAATTATAAAAAATCAATAATAATTAATTTCTATTAGCATTAATAAGATAATTGATTATTTATATAATCAAGATAATCACGATTGTTTAAAAGCATCATGGCAATTTTATAAATTTTTAAATGAAATCTCAAAGACTGAATTCTAAGAGTGTTCTGCATTTTGTATTAAATCAGATTCCTTTATTAAATCAATTAAAGACTAATCATTATGATTATATTGTTAAAATGATTGACTACTTTTAGTTCTTGTATGTTAAGCTTATGGAGTAATTGAACTACTGATCAAAACTTTAAATATCTAAAATAAGAAATATATAATACTTTAATGCATTCCATATTTTCTTCTCCTAATATTTCACTAACCAATTCTTTCTCTTAATCTAACATCTTTATAGGATTGTTAGATGATTCTAAAAGAGTCTTCATTTATTGGAATTTCTCTTCTCCTATCTTTCTTTTAAGGAAATCTGTTAATAAAATCGATCTCTAAGGAGAAGTAGGAGCATTAGGATTTAAGAATTAGCCTGCAAATGAAAAGGTCTTAGGATTCTTAAGTAATGTTGGTTAATTTTCATTTTCATATTCATTTGTGCCTCTTTTAGTAGCATCATCAATTTGAGTATTGATGGAGATTGATTTCTAATATCTTAATTATCTTTAAGCCATAACAGCTGAATTTTATTAGATAGATTCATTGATGACATCAGGAAGAGTATGTAAATTAAATGATAATGGCTTATTTTTATTAGCATTGTCAGCAGTAGCTAATTATTTAAATGTTGGAGAATTCTAATTTGAAGTATCTTAAATTAATTATTGCAAAGAGACTTTTCTTCTTTTCTCCTTACAAACTTATGGTGATTATTATTATAATTATTGTTATTATTGTAATTATTTAGATTATTCAACAAGAAAATGGATAGAATTTTTATGCATTTTCTTTTATGAAGATTTATTGGATTACATAGGTGAAACAGGTAATATGTAATTAAATTAAGTCTTATAAAGTCCTTATAGCTTATATAATTCTGATTAAATTTATGGATATTAGATAATAGTCGAGATATCAGGTCTTTTTTCTGGATTCTTTTCTAACATTTCATCTATTAATTATGAAATGAAATCTGAATAATTTCTTTGAATCTTAGGATGAGGTTCATTAATAATCTTAAAAGCTATTTCACTAATAGATTCTCCTTTAAATGGTTTTTGGAGAGAACATAATTCATATAGAGTGCATCCAAGCATCCAGATATCTATTTTATGATTATATTATTGATTTTAACAGATTTCAGGAGAGAGATAGAATGGAGTTCCTTTGATATAAAAATAATATAATACCAATTGATGTTTAAGCTAGATCTAAGGTATTGTCTAAAGTTCTAGATATTCCAAAATCTCCCAATTTGACCTTTAAATTAAATAAGAAATGTTACAATTCCATTGGTACAGAGGAAAATGTTTTATAATTTGATATCTCTATGTATTATCTTCAATTAATGAAGGTATTAGATAGCAATGGAGATCTAGGAAAACCAGCCAAGAATCTATAATATTGCATAAATCAAATACTAAACTGTATTTTCATCTATATATGTTTATGTTTGTTTAGCTTAATTGGTCATCATACTAAGATCGGCTAGAAGAATGTTATAAGAATTTGATACCATTTTCAGCATATTCCATTACAATACATAATTTATTATTATGAGTAAAGGAATCATAATGCGAAATAATGTTAGGATGATCTAGACTACGTAACAATTTAACTTCATTAAGTGGATCAACAACATAGCTTTCTCTAAAACTTAAATCTACTCTCTTTATAGCAAATAACTGAAATAATAAATAATAAGAGTGCCTTATCATCTGATTTTCTTTGCACTAACAATACATCTCCATAATTGCCTTTGCCTATTTTTTTGATTCTTTTAAATTGATCCATGGACTATGAAAAATTCGTTAATTATAATAATTATTCAATTTCCCACAAAATTTATATTTAACATAAATGTCAATTATATAGATTATGTAGATATCAAATTTAATTTTCAACCTAACTATTATCTGCAAATTGGACAACTATTCGATACCTATTTAAATAAATATTAATCATTTACATCAAACCAATTCCTAACACAACTTTCATGAAATTAATGTTATCCACTACATGGTAATTAAAGAATATTTTCATTATGAACATATTCCTACATGCAAATACAACAAGTTTTGTCTTCTTTCATCCAAGCATCATCTAATCCTGTATATTTATGAGGTGGAATTGATTCTAAGTATTTCTTTAATTTTCGAATAGAATATAATTATTTACCTTTTCTATAGATTGATAAACAACATAACAATCTATAATTATTAATTAATATTTTACGGTAATGCAATCACTATAACTACTAATAAACAATATAAAAAGATGAATTCTAGAAACATTGATAAAACCATAATGAACATTACATTTAATAGATTAGCATCACATGTCTCTTAAAAATATTAAAACATATTAAAATTAAATGGTGAATCCAACATCAAGATAAAAAATCTAATTATTATTACTTAAGCCAAAAAGTTCAAATATTTAGATTCTCTCTATTTAAATATTACAACCAATTACATTTAAATCAGGACATTAAGAAAATATTGATTTCTTTACTGTCATCATCAGTTTATTAAATGATTATCTATCTGGAATCTATTCTAAATTCATTCCTTCTTATTCTAAAACTTATTGAATTTAACTTAATTTTTCAATGTTTTCTAATTCCATCTTGTACTTGAACTCATGGTATAATAAGAAAATGCAATGTAATATTAATGTTGTAGCTGTTGAATGAGATTCTGATAACTCACATTTTAAAGCCTCTCCTAAAAAGATTATAGTTAGTAACAATTTTGATATAGTAAAATAAATGTAAATCTAAACACCCTTTGATAATTAGCTAAACACTTCTTTCAAAACATTAGGGTAAATTCCATATCTTTCTCTAGATTGAGGAATTAATAATTATTTAATATTTTCTAACATTTTATATATATTTAAACAATCATATATAAAATTTATTAAATTGCAATGTTCACATTAATGGTTATAAATTTATCATTAATTTTCAATTAAGAATTACCTATCTTTGATCAGATATTTTAAATATAAATTACAAATAATATAAATAGAAGTAATATTATAATTAATATACTAATAATAATGGAATATTAAAAATAATATATATATATATATATATATTATGTCTCTTAATTACTTAATTGTCATAATAAATATTTATATTATTATAATATTCTTAAAATAAGAATAATATAATGATTCTATATATTGAAGAAATCGATTTAATATTATAAACATTCATATACTGATAATTTCTAAAATATTAATAATTTAAAAAAATGGAGGAGTAAATATTCAAGATAGTGATCATTGGTAATAGTGCTGTTGGGAAATCATCTTTATTGATTCGATATTGTGATGATACTTTTAGAGATATTTATTTAAGCACAATAGGAGTTGACTTTCGATTTAAAACAATAAAGTTAGATGGATAAGGAATAAAGTTACAGATTTGGGATACTGCAGGTTAAGAGAGATTTAGAAACATTACAAATTCATATTATAAAGGTATATATTTATAATATTAAATATAGGTGCTTAAGGTATAGTAATTGTGTATGATGTGACAAATGCAAAATCTTTTGAAGATGTAACTAAATATTGGATGGCAGAATTATCTCATTATGCAGATTAAAATGTAAAATTGATGTTACTGGGAAATAAAATAGATATGGCAACAGAAGAGACTAGATAAGTAAGTCAAGAAATGGCTGAACAATTAGCTAAAGAATTCAATATGTAACATCATGTTGTGAGTGCAAAGACAGCTGAATAAGTATGAATACAAAATATTAATTAACAGGTTGAGAATGCATTTATAAATTTGGCAAGATCTATATATAATGAGAAATCATTAAGAGAGATGGTTCATCCATAATAATAATAATTGACTAGTAAAAAAAATAAAGATGAAAAGTAAAAGGTATGTTGTTGATTGATCTTTATTTCGTTTTTGTTTTAAGCATATTTATTAATTAATGTCATATACATCAAGATATTCATCAGCAAGACCATAAACTGTTAAAAGTACAATAGAAACTAAAATAACAACAACAACTACATCTTAAGTTAATAAGACAGCAGATTAATCACCTTAACCTATACAAAGATCAGAAGTGAGAAGATCTAGTCAAATCAAATCAAGTGGTACAGTTATCAATGTGTAAATATAATTAATAATATTTTAGACCTCCTCCTACAACTGAAAGAAAGTGGTTAGGTAAAAATCCAGAAGTTGTGTGCTTTTTATTAGCATTAGAAAATGATAGAATAATGAGAGAAAATAATATATAATTCAATAGAATTAAGGAGTTAGAAGGTGTCAATGAATAATAAGAAAATAGAATTAGAGAACTCTAAACTAAATTAGATTCATAAACAACAGAAATAACTAATTACAAGTTAAATTATATATATTAATTAGATCTGAAATTGAAAAACATATTATAAGAATTAAATAATTAGAATCTGAATTAAATGAATATAAATCTAAATTAGGAAATGTAGATTAAAGTCTTGCTGGTAGATTAAAAGAAACAGAAAGGAAATTATAAGACAGTGAAAAAGAATTGACTAATTGGAAAAATAAATATAATACAGATAAAACTAATTGGGATAATGAAATTAGAAGATTAAATGATTTACTCACTTAAAAATAAAAAGAATTAGATGATTATAAAAATAATTAAGGTAAAAATTATGAACAATTATAATTATAATTGAGATAATATGAAACTAAAATTAGAGAATATGAAAGTTAAATTAGTACATATAAAAGTGATATTGATCGTTTGAATAAATTATTATTAGAAAGAAATTCAGAAATTGATAGATTAAAAAATGAATTAAAAACAAGATTATAAGAATTAGATGATTGGAGAAGTAAATTTACTAATCTTTAAAATTAATTTAATACAATGAAATCATAATATGAATCTAAAATTAATGATTTAACTAATACATTATAAAATAGAGATAGAGATTTAAATGATTGGAAAAATAAATATGCTAAATTAGAAGGATAATTTAATAATCTTGGAAGTCTTCAATCAGGAAATGAATCTAAAATTACTGATTTATAAAATAGAATTTCATAATTACAATCAGATTTTGATAGATAAGCTACATAATTAAGAGATAGAGATGCATAAATTTAAGCATTAAAAGAAAAACTTTAGAGATTAGAATAAGATAATTTTACATTAAATAATCAATTATAAGATTTATAATCTAGATATAATAATTTAATGAAGGAAAATGAGAAATTATAAAATGAATTAAGAAATAGAAAGAATGAATTAGATTTCATGAAATAATAATTATAATAAGCTAATGATCAACTTAAGAGATATGAAGATTAAATTAATTAATTAAATGAATAAATTATGGAATGTAAAGATTAAATTATGTCACTCTAAAATTCAAAAGAAATGTTGGAAAGACAACTTTAAGATTTATATTCAAAATCTAATGATAATGTAGGTGAACTTAAAAGTGCTAATGATTAATTAGAAGGAAAAGATAAAGATATTGCAGATCTTAGAGATTAATTAAATTAATTTTAAGTGGATAGATAAATTATGGAATCTATGATTAATACTTTGAATAATTAATTAGCCAATAAAAATGATGAAATCTAAAGATTATTAGCTTAAAATAAATTAAGATTATAATAATTATTAGAATTGCAAAGTAGATATGCATAATTAGATTATCTTCTTAGTGATCTAAAAGGAGTTGAATTATAAAATAAATAACTAATTGCTAGAATTAATGAATTAACATAATTAGTAGATGATCTAAAAAGAAAACTTGCACAATAAGAATTATAATTATTATAATCTAAATCCAATGAATTTAAAATTTAAGAATTAGAAAATATAATTAAAGAATTAGCTAAGGAAATACAAAGATTAAATGAATTCTTGAATTAGAAACTATCTGAAAATGATAAATTGAATATGTAAATAATTTCAATGGAAAATGAAATTAATAAACTTAAAAATCTAGAACCACTGTTAAGAGAATTAGAAAAGAAATTATAAACTCATTTAGATGATATTGCTAGATTAAGATAATTGTTGGATTCAAGAACAAATGAATTGAATGAATGGAGATTAAAATACTCAAAACTAGAACCAATAGTTGATGAAAAAAGATAATTAGAAGAAAAGAATAGATTATTAGAAAATAGAATTTAAGGATTATAATAAGATATTTAAAGATTAACTAAATAATTGAGATAGAAATAATTGGATATTGATTAATTAAATTGGATATTGAATTAGACAGAAGGATTATTAAGAAATAGAGATGATAGCATAAATTCACTTGAAACTAGATTACATAATTTATAAAGATCATATGATAATGAAAGATAGAAAACTTTAAATTTTGAGTAAATTTAAAGTTAATTACAATAATCATTAGATAAAATTAATCAATTAGAAACCTAAATCAAAGGTTTATAAAATGATTTAAATAGAGCCAAAAAGGAAGTCACTTATTAATAAAATGAAAATGATTAGATGAGACAATAGATTGCAAAATCAGAAATTTCAATTTTAGATTTGAAATAAAATGAAGCTAGATACAAAGAAGTTGAAAATAGATTAAATTAAAGTTAAAAAGAAGTTGAAAAATTAACTAGATAATTAAATGATAAATTATAGGCATATGAAGAATTAAAACAAAATAATGGATTATTGGATACTAAATACAAGAATCTATAATAATAATATTAAGAATTATTATAGAGATTAAATTAATTAGAATAAATTAATAATTTATATTAAATCTTAAAGGCTAAAGTTTTAGAATTAGAAAATAACAATAAATAATATAAAATTGATTAAGATAGATTAAATTCTACTTTGAATCAAAAACTTTAAGAATTAAATGAATTGTAAAATCTACTTCCATAATTAGAGGACAAGATCCATCAATTAACTCCATTTGAAGAAAAAGTATTATTTATTTTAATTTTAAAGTACTCAATAGTTTAACCAAAATATGAATAGGAATTGAATAAATCTGATGAATTACAAAAGAAAATCAGAGATTAAGAATAACATTTATAAGAATTAGAGAAAGTGAAGAAAATGTAATAGAGTTTAATTATAATATAGAGTACAAGATCAAACAGTGATATTGACAGTATTATTTGGAGAATGTGAAGGATTACGACAATAATGTATGGATAAAGATGGAGAGATATAGGATCTAAGATTTAATGTAGCTTAATTATCAGATTAATGATATAATATACAATAATAAACATTATTGAACTAAAAGATTAAATATTTCAATAATAACTTAACAATTAATTATACTAGTATAATTTAAATTCAAAAATAAAAAATGTCATAGAATGAAAATGAGATTTATAGGAGAATCAAATTACTAGGAGAAGGTTCTTTTGGAAAGGCATATTTAGTGGAATGCATCTAAGATGGAACTCTTTGTGTGATCAAACAAGTAGATTTAAATTAAATGAAAGAAGATGAAAGAAGAGAAACAATTAAAGAAGCAAGAATATTAGAAGCATTAAGACATCCTAACATAGTTAAATTTAGAGAAGTCTATAAAACAAAAAAAGGTAGGTTATGCATTGTAATGGATTATGCAGATGGTGGTGATTTAAGCAATAAAATTAAATAAACAGGATCATGTCTATTTAGTGAAGTATAGATACTAGATTGGTTTACATAAATATGTTTAGCAATTAAACATGTTCATGATAGAAAAATTATTCATAGAGATTTAAAAACTTAAAATATATTTCTTACTTAAGATGGAATAATTAAACTTGGTGATTTTGGAATTGCCAGAGTTTTGAATCATACTAGAGAAAAATGCAAAACAATTGTAGGAACTCCTTATTATTTATCCCCTGAAATCATTGAAAGTAGAGATTACTCATTTAAAACTGATATATGGTCTTTAGGAATTATACTTTATGAACTCTGCGCGCTCAAACCTCCATTTAATGCTGAATCCTTACATGGATTAGCCCTTAAGATTGTTAGAGGTCAATACAATCCTATTCCTGATAAATTCTCAACAAACATGAGATAATTAATCTCTTCTTTACTTTAAGTTGATCCAAATAGAAGACCCAATATTCATGAAGTTTTGAAGATGTAAATTATATTTATCAATTTTAGGCCAATCATAGTTAATAGAATCAGAAGTGTTTTATCAGAAAGTATAAGGAATGTAGAATTCTCTCATACTATTTTACACAAACAAAATTTTGTTAATCATAATTTAATAGTTCCATATGATACAGAATTGAGAAGTGTATGTTCATAGCCAAATCTTGGCAAAATTTAATAACAATAACCATTACAATAATATTAATAATAATAATAATAACCTAGTAATTATTTATTGGCATTTAATGCAAGAGGATAGCCATAAAATAATCTATTAAAATAGAAACAATTATATTAATAACATTTACCATAAGTATATATCTTATTTAATTATTTTAGAATTACGATTACATCTCTAAACCATCTTAATAAAATTATAATCCATATATTAATTATTAGAAATACTAATAAAATAAATAATAATAAATTTAACCCTTATAAGTTAATAATAGACCTAATATTTCACCATTAAATCCATAAAGAAATGAGAAATCACCTTATTATGAAGATAGATCACCATTAAGCAAATCACCATTTAATAAAGATGTTAGAGATAAATCTCCTTTTGAAATATAAAGAGAATAAGTCAGATAATAAATTAAAAGAAATGAAGAAAAATTTCAATAACTTTAAGAAAATAAAATAAAATATTTATAACCTGATAAATATGAATTACCTAAATTATCTAGAGAACCATATTCATAACCATAAATACAATATAAATATTAAAAATAATAATCTGATCCTGTATCAGTCAAAGACCCAATTAGATTAGAACCAATTAATAATAATTAATAATAATAATAATAATAATAATAATAATAATAATAAAAAATTGATTTGCAATAAAAGATAGAATAATAATTATAATAATAATATCCTTCATCTTAAAGAGATCAAAAAGAATAAAGAGATAGTGTATATTAAGCACCTCAAACTGAAAGAGTACAAGTAGCATAATACATTTCCCAACCTCCTCCCACTTAATAATAAAGTGATCCAATCTAAAAAACTGAATCAGTCAAACCAAGTAAATAATAATTAAAAGAAAGTCAACTTATCTTATAAGAAATAAGAGAAATAAAAAATGATAATAAAGATGATAGAGAAAAAATGAAATAATTAATGGAAATGAAGAGATAAAGAAATAGTAATACATAATCAGAAATCTAAGAAGTTATTAAAGAAGCATCAAAAAATTCTGATGAATAAGAAGATGAAGCATCATAATTACTAGCAGAATTAGAAGATATTGTTATAGCTGCAGAAGGTGGTGATGTTAAACATTCATAAGTAATTAATGTAGGTGATTGCGATTTAATAAATATGTAACAATCAGTTAGAGAAAGTGTGGATAGAGAGGATGATGATAGTTTAGAATAGAAATCAAATGGATCAAATGAAAATGGAGAAAGAGAAAGTTTTTAAGATGATGAAGATATAGTTTGTGAAACACCTAAAGAATTACTTTATCAATTATTATTAAGATAAATTGGTTAAGAATAATTGACTAAAGCATTAAATAAAATATAAAATGCATACTCCCAAGATTATATCAATTTAATGCAAAATGGTTTGGATGAATTGTAATAATATAAGGCACTAATATTTATGTATGAATGTATGTGATTTTATATTTAATCATATATTATATCTACATTATATCATATAAAATAATATTCATCTAAAATTTATAACATTTAGTATTCAAAAACATTTTTTGATTCAAAATTTTAAAATACTTGATTTTCAAACATCATAGTACCACAAAACATCTAAAATTATAAAATAAATTAAATACTTCACTCATATTTAATATTTATTATTCTCTTTTTTTCAATTTATAGATATTTTATTTTTATTTTATTTCCTTAATGATATTTTACAAGCATTCGTTCATTCCAAAGATAATTAAAATAGGAATTGTATATTAAAATATGTATTAAACATACTCTTAAAATATAGGAGATTTCAAACTTAAGATGTAAATTCCTAAATTTATAAAATCTTATTGATAAATTAATTTTTGTAAATGAATTTACTCATCAATTATTTAAAATTTGTTTACGAAAAATAATGTGTTTTACATTTTAAATATTAATTCTTTGTATTTTTAATATTCACTTTTACTGAATAATTCTTAAAATTAGTTTAAGATTTGTAGAATAAATTGTGTGTTTTCGTTGTTATCAATCAAAAAAGATATTTTATTTGTTATTATTCTCTTGTGTATTTTTATATTTGCTTTATCCTAATTAAAAATTAATAATTCTAAAAATAAAGACATTGTATCATGATTTTTATTTAAATAATTATAAATCTTGTCTAAAGATCGATTAAACTTAGAGCTTAAAAAGTAGATAAGAGAGGCTAATTCAGTAGATTAAATTTCAGATTACTCTAATAAATTTAGTAAACCTAACCACCATTCTTATGAATATTACACAAATGATTAATTTACTTTCCATTATAAAATCTCACTTATCCAATCATCTATTTTGATTGGCAATTAAATCTTTTATGTAGGTTGAGATGATAAGAATTATAAAATTGATTATTATTTTTAAGTTTAGTCTAATGAATTATTCTTCTTTATTTCTTTGATTACTTTTTCTATATATGAACTTTATATATTATCTTTTATTCTGGATTCTAAAATTGATTCAAAAAATAAAATTAAACTCAATCCTTATTAAAATTAATTAGGTCTCTAAATATGATTTAAATCTGAAAATTCATATTAATCAGGATATATTTCTATTAAATCAATATAATCCTATAATTAAATTAGTGAATTTCCAAATAATATATTAAAATACTACAATCTCTATCCTAATAGTCTTTTTTCATATGGAACCAATTATAGTTAGTTATTGTTTCTGATACTGAATAAACATTATAATAATTTGATGCAAAATTAATTTTCAATTGGTATTTCTTTTTAAATTTCATATTCTTACATAAAATATTAACATATTTGATATTCAATTTCATTCATTTCTTTATTACTAACACAAATCTAAAAATCTTAAACAAATTAAATATTTTATCTTTTTGTTTGATTAATTTTTAATATTTTTTAATTTGTAGATTATTTACTCAAATTTTAAAGATCATAAACTTATTGAAAAAATGTTTGTTACTTTTCATAAAATTCTTATTCTAAATTATTTTCCTTATTATTATTAACTTCTTATTATGATTATTATATAGAATTTTCTGATTATTATTATTATTCATCATTTTCATCATGTACAAATGTATAAATAGAAAAATGATCAACTCTAACAATAAATTATTATTTATTTTGATCAATTTCTATTAATTCAATATTCTACTCTTTACATTTTTATTATAAAAATTTGAGTTCACTTTCATAATTATCATTATTTATTGTAATTGGCACCTTTAATGTAATCAAACATGATTTATTAAGTTTTTTATTAATTTTTGGTTTAAGATATTCATGAATTTAATCTAAATCATAAACTTCTACCTTTGAATCTTGTATATCTACTATTCTATCTAAATTAAGATATAATAAATTTGTTGGAGAATCCCATCTTAATGAACCAAATTCATTAAAAATTGTAAAATCTTCAACATTTTTTAATTAATTAATTGTTAATTAATTTATATCTGGTAAAGTATAATATCCTTTTTTAGTTAAAATAGGTCTATAAGTTTATAAAATTCTAAAAGATAGAGTTTGATGATTATCTTAATTATTATTTTCATCTATTATAAATTCACTTTTTTCAAAATAAGCAGGTTTATCACTTTTAAAGACATGCATTTAATCTATTTTTTAAAGAATTTGTTCTTTAAAATCTATTTTTGATTTAATATCATTAAATTCTTCATTAAATGTTATAAAATTTTCACTTTCTTCAAAATAGATTTCAATTATATATTCTCTTTTAGTTTTGTTGGACTTTTATGAAATTCTACTAGTTGTAAATCCACAATTGATTTATGATTATTATTATTGTATGCTAATTCTTGAACTTTTTTAACTATTTGCTAAATTTAAATTACTAGAAGAAGGCATCATTCTAAAGAGATTATGAGAATCATTTTTCTTTTTTGGTAATAAATTGATTTCTTATTATTTTTTTTATCTTTCAATTCTTTTTTTTTATTCTAATTAATTAATTAAGTATTCTTATTCTAAATATTTTTCTTCTTCTAATTTATATAATTTTTCCATTTCTTAAATAGAATTATTTAAAGTGGTTGTGAAATTATTAATCATATCTACTGATTGTTTAATAAATTAAATAGGATTCATTTAATTTTGATATTAAATCATTTATAAATCATTTGATAACATATTTATGGTATTAATATTTTAAAATGGTTAAAATGGTTATGAAGGTATTTATAATGGATAAATTTATTATTATTATTATTATTAAAATTATTATTGTTAAAACATTAATTATTATTATGAATTTTATTATTATTATTATGAAAATGGTTATTAAATATTATTATTCATGAATTATTATTATGGTTATGAGAATATTGAATTAATAGATTGATTATTATTATTATTTTGATTATTAAAATTATTGAATTAATTAGTATCATTATTATTAGTTTAGAGTTAATTAGGAATTTAAATTTACAATTAAGGTTTATTTTATTAAAATATATTTCCAGATTATTATTATTATTAAGTCCAAGGGAGATTTGCATCTTTTGTCTAATAATTATTAAATTCAGATTAAGGTTTATTATTATTATAAACATTTGAATTAAAAATATTTTATTATTATTAATCTTATCTAGGATTTGAAAATATATTTACTGTGTTATTTGTATTGGTATTATTATTTATTGGAGGGGCATTAAATATATTTCCAAATTATTATTTTTATTATTATTATTACTACTAATTATTTTAATTGTTCATTGAACTGAAAAAATTATTTTATTGTCGATTATCATTAAGAGAAGAGGAAACATTTGTGTTAAATATATTTTGTTATTATTATGTTTAGTTATTAGATTCCCATATAGAATTAGTTCCTTTTTAAATAGGAAACTATGGTATATTGATAGCTATATTTAATATATATATATTTACGTTGTCCAGCTACTTTTGAAATCAAAGTAGGATTAAACCTTTTACATTGAATTGCATTTTGAATAGTTGAGATATGAAAATCATCAATTTATTATGCTCTAACCAAATAATAATCCTCCAATCTAATCATTATCATTGTCTAATTTTATAAAGTAAAAATACCATTTTATCATATTAAGGTTAGAATATAATTGAAGTAGACAATACGTTTTTATCATCTACAACTTAAATTTTAATTTGTTCAAACTTGGCTCGATATGATCCTTGAACATCTCGTTTTTTTTGTGTTCTTAAAATGAACATATATAATACTAAGGAATAGTCCAGGTATTAGAATTTTGTTGACTAGTTTAAAATATATTGGTATTGCCATTTCTTTGAAAGAGAGTGTTTGACATTATTTTATTTTAATATTATTTACATTATGCAGTTAATTTAAAATGGTTCAAGTAAATATTGAGTAACAAAAATTTATATAATTCTAGAAATATTAATTATTATAATTTAATGATAGATCAATATGAGGATTGGGATAAATTCTCATCTAAAGAAGATTTTCTTTTTCTTCCTTTCTTGTTGATATCATTAATATTCAATTTCTTAAAATTTTCTTCTTTTCTCTTCTATTTCACTAATTCATTTTTCTTCTTTTTCTCTTATTTCATGGCCTAAAAACTGGATTCAAAATTTCTAATCTCCAACTTATTATTTTTCTTATAAGTATGGACTTTATTCTAACTTTCATCAAAAGAGACCTTTCTTTATAAACCTTCACTTGCTATGGAATTTGATCTCTTCCTTAAACTAGATGTTATAGAAATTTCATCAAAATCTTTTTAACTTTGAGTAGTCCTTAATTTCAATGATTCGCCCATGTCAGCACAAGAATCTTCCTTGCTTAATGTAAGTTGTTCGTCCATTAAAGCAGCTTCCTTTCTTGGCCGCATGGGCGAATCTATATCTTTTATTTGTTCTTTAATTATTTCTTATTAAGGCTGCGAAGGAATCTTTCTTCTTGTATATAGATGTTAAATAACAACCAAAATCAAGGAAATCAAAATCCCTGACATTGTTTATATTGTTAATTTAATATTAACAGTACCTTCATTAACATCAAATTTTGAACTAAACCTATCAAATACATGATAAATTCATACAATAACGATAATAAGACTCCTATTGTCAAAATTACAGAATGCTATTTTTCCATTTGATTTTATTTATTAATATCTATAAAAAATATGTAAAAAAGTTCAAAAATTATATAATAGATAAATTCATATTCAAAGAATTGATGTATTGTGTAATTATATTATTCATATTATCAATCTATTATTTAGATATATACATATAATAAATATATGACAGAATAGCAAGTAGATTCTAAAAAAAGTAATTATATCAGATATATAAATATCATATAAAACTATACACAAGGTTAATATCTTAAAATTCATAAAACAAAAAATTTCTAAAATAAAGTCTTTTATTGGATTTAGATATTAAAAATAATATTTATTCAAGTTAATTCTAACAGGAACAGTTCATGATTATATTAAGAAAATCATATATAAATTGAAATTCTTCTATGACTAAATTTAAATCACCAAATTTATATTCTATTTTTCATAATACAAATATCCACTAAATTTATAAGTTTTGGAAACAAAAGGATTTTTTCTATGGTCTTCTTCTTACTTAAAAAACAATAAATCCAATTCTAAAGACAATTGATTCCATCCTTTTTTCGGCAATTTATTCCTTGTAGAAACTTGAAAAAATGCATTATTGTAAAATATTTATATTTAAGCAAATTTAACTGATGGTTATTGAAGGAGTCAAATTTAACTACATAAGAGATTATACAATCAAATATGTTTTTTATTTTGATAATCTCATAACAATACCAATCTATATCAAAAAAGATCAATCATTAAGACTAAATTTTAAATATTTAATAAGAAAAAAAAGAAAATAATGTCATAAAATGGTTGTATAGAATCAATAAATTACTTATAATATTCCAAAATAAAGAGGATTTTTTAATAAATAAGAAGAAATGATATTGTTAAAAATGATAGATGATCATTTCTAAAAATAGTTTGAATAATTTTAACAGTTAAACCATAAGTAAATAATTTATATTAAACTTAAAGGAAATATTCAAAAATTTAGTAAGAATCAAAAAGATATTTAAAACTTATTAAATTCAATTAAAAATGATTAGCTATTATAATTATATATGAAATATCATAATAACGTAGTCTACTATTAATTGCTTTGAGTCTAACAGTTCCTAGTTATAATAAATCTTTAAGATCAATTGAAATGGAAATATTAAAATATGATGTACTTTTCATCCAATACCAGATCGTAGTAACACTCAATCAAGATTCAATAGATATTTAACTAATGTGAAACTTATTTAAAAGAAATAAAAAAACAATTAAATATTATTTAAATTCTTAAAAAAAATTAAAAGTTCTAAATCTAAAATACAATTATATATATATGGATAAATTATTGAAAAAAATAGCAATAATGATAAAATGAATATAATCAATTAAAATAATCATTATTATTTTGAGATACTTACTTTATTTACTCATTCTTAGGCTATTGCATTTCAACGATTTCATTAAGGATTCTTTTTTATATATATATATATACTTATTTTTATATTATACCATTTAAGTATTTTCTAATTAAAATTATCCTTATATATCGAAATTATCATTTTAATCCTTTTGTAATTATTATTAATTTATCTTTTCTTATTCAGTTTAAATATCAGTTAATTAATCAAAATTGATTTAATTTTGATTTATGTTAGATCCGTTACTATGCATAGAATTATTCTTAATATGTTCTTTTTATTAATGATATCTATTTAATTATTCTTTTAAGTTTTGAATTTATAAGTCTTTTTATTCTAATTCCTTTAATTATTTTTAATTTAAATTGTTCAAATCTTCAATAAGTTTTGTTTGATTATTTAATTAAGTTTTTAAATTTCCCAATTCCTAATTAATCTTTATTTTTGTATATTCTTAAGCATTTTATAATTAAATTTCCAACCGTTTAATTTTTTCATCATTTTCTTCAAGTATTTTTTGTAATTATAATTTCTCTATTAATATTTCTTCATCATCATATGATTATTCATTAATATCATTTTCATCAACATCGGCAAACTATTCAAATTTAACAAGATTTTAACTATTTTTAGATCTATTACTAATTACAGACTTATTCATTTTTTATTCTATTTACTAATGGATACTTTTTAATTCTTCTTACAAATTTAAAATTTCTTAATCTTTTTATGATATCAATTCTTTAAATTATACTTATTCTTCACTTGATTATTAAATAATTTCTAACATTTTAACTTAACTCCCTTATTTTTATAATTCTAATTAATAATCCTCTATTTACTTTTATAAATTTTCTATAATCTTTTATTGATTAGATATCTTTTATAAATAATGACTAATATCATTTTTTAATTGATCTAAACTTTACTATTCTATTTTCAAACTAATAATTTAATTTTCTAACAGTTTATTTTACTCAATAGATTAATTAAGACTACTCTATATTTATGTTTTTTATTGCATTATATTATTAATTAATATATCTTTTTTTTATAGTATATCTTACTATTCATTTAATTATTATTATATTAATTAAATCTACTGTGATAATATAGAAATTTATTCATCTGATTATTTTGTTTCAGGTAATAATATATTTTCTATTTAATTAACTCTTTAAGATATTTAAACATCTAATGAATCCATTATATCTTAATTTGGTTGAATAGAACTCTTATTTTCAGAGATGGTCTATAATTATTTCATTAGATTATGTGATTTAAGCTATTCTTCTTGTAATTATAATTATATCGATTCTATTTTTTTTAATGCTTCTTATAATTTTAGATGGAGTTATTTTTATTAATTTTCATTTTCTTTTTATTCATTTTGATATTATTTTATTTTGAATTAAAATTATTCTATATCTTAAATATAAGCATTTTATTATGAGTCATTTAAATGATTAGTTTTTTATTCTTATTTATCTCTTTCAATATTATTAATCTATTAAGTTAATTTTTATATATGGGATTTGCATTCTGATATCTAAACATCTTTTTGTTTTGAATCTATTGAATATTTTTTTATCTCTTCTACCAACTATTAATTTTTATCTATTTCTTCTTCTAATTTGAATTCCAGTTCTGAAATTCTTGCTCTTAACTTTTCATTTTCATTAAATGCATTTTCTAAATGTTATTCAGATTAAACTTATTTTTTAGTAAGCATCTTTTATTGATTTTACCATTCATTAGTTTATTACTCTTATTAATTTAAATTATTCTATATTACTTCCTCCATTTATTTGAGTAACTCTTAATTATGCTTTTATTATTTATTTAATTATTATTCAATCTATGATTTTTATTATTAATATTAGGATCTATCATTTTATAAGTTTGTAATCAAATTTTTAATTTATAATTAATTTACTTATTCTTATTTAATTTATTTCTATAATTCAAAATTATCTGTTTATAATATTTTAATTTCTAATTATTTATTTTCATTATCTTTTTATAGTTTATAAATCTTTTAATTCAAACTATCTCTTTCTTAAGGTTATTATTATTATTATTATTAAATTTATTAATTTTTTCTTTATAATTCAATTATTTTCTATTCCAATATTTTCTTTTCTGTTAAATAATTGTTAATCATATTTTCTTATGATTAATTTTATTCAATTAAATTTTATATAGTAGAATTCTATTTATTAATTTTTATTTAAAATTATTATAATTAATCTGTTTAATCTTTGAATTTATTATTTTCATTTCTAGATTATTTTAATTGATTTTCAAGTTCTTATTTATACCTTTATAAAGTATCATAATTTTCTTATATTTTAGTTAATTTTTAATCTTTTATTCTTATTTAATCTTATAATTTATTATTTTAATATTAATATTCTTATTTCAATTTGTCAATTTAGAATTATTAATTTTCATTTATTTATGTTTAATTTTTAATTAAATCTATATTTTCATTTTTTTACTTCTCAAATTAAATTTGAATATATTATTTCTCTTTTTATAATGTCAATAATTCAATTTAATATTTTTCAAAATCATTTAATAGACTATTACAATTTTATTTTAATAATACTATTTAATCATTTAGATTAATTTAATTGTTGTAACTTTCTTATAATTTATCTGTTAATTACTTTATTTCATCTTTTTATTAGATCTAAATATCATGATTAAATTACTTGAAGCACTTTCGATTGATTTAAATCATTTAATTCAGATACAATTAATTCCTTATTCTTATTATCATCTAATAATTTGCTAAGTTCTTATTCCAACTATTAAATCCTAACTTAGAATTGTTATTTAAGTTATTATTCTTATTAAATAGCAAATAACTTTTCTTATTCAATATTATTGATAATATATTAATGATTTTTCTTTAATTCATTAAATTGATATTCCAGTTTCTAATTCTAATTCATTATTTTATTAGTTTATATTTTTTCAACATGTTTTTATTAACTATCTTTTATTTAATTCAACTTAATAATGATTTTATTGAGTTATTATTATTTCTATTGAATTTATTAATTTATTTAACTTTAATATTAATAAATGAATTGAAATATTTCTGATTAAAATTAATTGAAAGCCTATTAGATGTTAGAATGATTATTATAATCTATTTAAATTGAATTAGTTAATTCATCTATATCTGTTTATTGATATATTCTATGCATACTATATCTAGCATCATATATTTATTAGGTTAACCCTTTTATTGAATTTGATAAACTGATATTTTCAATTTTTAATTAGTCTTAAGTATTTTATAGATTGATAATTTAGGATTAATAAAACTATTTGGATTTTTCATTTTGTAATTTAATGTCATATATTTCTTACAATAATGAATCAACTCTTGATGGCGTATCTATTTTTGAAGTATTTTATGGACTTGAATATTTCAGATTTAAAGTTGAAAATTTTGAAGTTAATGTTGACAATTTCATACCTTTTATTAATTTTTCAGTACTTTCCATATCATTTATATAATGATCATGTTATGAAGATTGATTTGTATGTTATACTACAGAATCGAATGTCTTTATTGAGTTATTAGGTTATAGTAAAAACGATTATGTTTCTGGTTTATTTATATACTGTGTATTATACATCTATGATTTTGTATTAACACTTCCACTACTTGGTCTGTTTTATTAGGGAATCTGAGGATTTCTATAAGAATACATGAATTGTTAAATTTTATTAATAAAATATAATAAGAATTCATTGAATTTCACCAATATCCTCTTCTATAATATCCATCATAATATTTATTAGCATAATAAGATGAATATTGTGTTGGGTAATCTAAGATCTTGGATTGAGGTGATTATTAACTACCATAAAAGAGATAATTACAATTAAACAGGTTTAGAAGCATGTAATGGATGAGTTAATGTTCTACTTAATGGTACAACTTATTGATCTGGAATTAATGGAGGGGGAGTATAAGAAGGAGGTAATAAATATGCAAGTATATGATGTTCAGGAGATCTTAATTCTAATAAATAATCATCAGCATGTAAAAATGAATGAGATACAAATGAACCTATTGAATATATTAAAATTGAAAAACATCGACCTATATATTAAATATATTAATTACCATATTTTTCTTCTAGATTATGTCTAATATAATCAGTTTTATGTGCATAATGTTCTTAATATAATGATCTATTATATAAGTCCATAATATCTATTTTCATTTCATTACTAATTTAATATCCTTATTTAATGCATTCTATTTTAACTTTTGATGCCATAAAACTGTTAAATATAATTAAATAAATTTATTTATTTCTTTAAAAACAATCATTTTCAATAAATTTTATTCTATAATTATATGCAAGAAAGCATTTATAACTTAATACCAAAAGAGAAAACTCCTCCTAAAAAAGTTTCTAAATTATATAAATCTACAATACCTGGAACTATTGCTCCAACTGGAAGTACATTTGGAACTCAATCTTTAATTATTCCAGTCACAAATATAAATGGATCATATGTTATTCAATAAAATAGATATAGATCAGAAAGTGGTGTTTTAGGTAAATCTAAAAATTGTAATAATCATATTAAATTCTAGAAAAATTAGAACCAATTAAACATAGATATATGGGTAATAATAGTCTAGATTTATGGATTGAAAAAGGATCAATTCATAGAAGTGTTGATCATTAACATTCTGCTCATAAACCATAAATACCAAAATTGAATGATAAACCAATTATGGGATTAAAATACAATAAAAATTTTATTGCCACTAATGCAATAGATGTCATTTTAGCTAGTTATATTTTATTATATTTTATTACTACTTAGATCCTAAAAGAAAACAATCAGAACCAGATTGGACTAAGAAATCTGTTTATGGAAAAGTTCCAATTTATTTAACTTAAATCAAAGATACTCTTAAAGAATAATTTTATGAAAAACAATATAGAAAATAATTAGAATAATAAGAATAAGATAATAAATTGTATATTTTCTAATTTTTAATAGATAATAATTGCCAGAAGAGGAGTTGGAATAAATAAGACAAGGATTAAAAAAGAAATATGATGAATTGAATTATTAATATTAATAATAAACACATTGTAGAGTATTTGGAACTATTGGAGTCAAAAGAAGGAAAGAAAATTATGAAAAAGAGTTAATATAATTAGAATAAGATATTGAAAAATTAAATAAGAAATATGTTTTTATTTAGCATTGATCCCTTAATGTTTAAATCCTAGTTCCATAATTAAATTGAATTCTTATCATACTTTAAATATCACTTCAAATTTATAATAGAAATAAAATTAATTATAATCTAATCAATTATTCTTTTCCATAAATATTATGTTTTATTAAATTTTTTATTATTCTTTTTAGAAATAATAAGATGATAATAAAAATAGAATTCCATTTATAATAAATATAATATTTCTATCAACCCATCTTATATAGTAATATTGCCATCTATCCTTCATAAAAAAACATATAACGTTTGCTTTCATAAGATGAGTATGAATTAAAATGTTTTCCTTTAATTTTAATTGATGTAGATACCAACAACACAATGCCAATTTGGACCATATTTTTCATCGAAAAACTTCTTGATATAATGAGAGATTTATGATTCTACTTTAAAATGTTCTACTGCATATCTGGCCTTTGAAATTTATTTATTAATTACTTAAGTTCTTGCATCATTGATCATATCTGATTATTCTGGCATATCAATTATTTATTCCAAATTTTCATCTGCCATTTGAAACTGTAAATAATTATATAAAAATATTAATATAATTTTCATATATTCTTATTTCTAGTATAAAATAGGTCTGCTTTTTCATTGACTTGACATCTAGAAAAGTTATTCTCTAAATTTTTAATTCAACTAATCTAGATTTTATTTAGTTTTTAATTTATCTCATTTCATTTTCATTTTATCTTCTATTTTTAAAACACATCTGGATTAATAAATGAAATTCTCGAATATATTCTCAAATGGAGTTGTTAAAGAATTTACAAATTTTATTTTTGGATTTGGGATTAAATCGTAAATATGATTTATTCTATTTAATTCTCTTTTTACCATTATTTAGTGCTGTTAGATTTTCAAATTTAAAGGTGTATCCAGAATTTTCAAATCTGTTTTATGAAAATGGTTGGTTTTTTTCTTTATATTAATAAACTATTTCGAACGATTAGACATTTTCATTCTTTAAATATTTTAGTTTTAAGCCAATTATTAGATACTATTTTATATCTTTAGTGAGTATTTTTTATTATTAAAGACGCTTTATTCTCCCTAGATCTTTCCTGGTTTAGATGTAATAAAATAAAATTTTTTATTTCCTGCCTTAAAAATTTTTTGGGGGCTTTGGTAATGATTATAGAAAATCCATCACTTTATTACTTAAATTAAATATAAATCTGTTTTATTATAATATTTTATGGAATTTAAAATTAATATTATCATCTATTTTAGTTTTAAATTAATACTACAAATATGTATAACAATACTTTACTATATTTACTACTATTAAAGAAAATTACTTAATTATTTTAAATTAATTATGTTATATTAACAAAAAATTGTTCTTATATTATATAATTTATTATGATTAATTTAAAATTATTAAATTATTTCATTTCTTTATATGCCTTTATTTTCTTCAATAACAACTTTTTTTCTATTTGGTAGGATTCTTCTTCTTCTTCCCGCTATTTTTTTTTTTGACTGTATTTCTTAATTTAGTTAATTGAACATTATAATAAGAGCGACATCTATCTAGTTCTTGTTGTTTGTAATTCTATTCTAAAGCATGCATCCTATATTCATGCTCTCTTTATTACTCTAACATTTTATATTTTAGTTTTTCAGCTTCTAATTATTAATTGGCAATTTCTTATTGTATTTTTAATTTCTCTTCTTCTGCTTTTCTTTTATCTTCTTCTGCTTTTCTTTTATCTTCTTCTGCTCTTCTTTTATCTTCTTCTGCCTTTCTTTTTTCCTCTTCTGCTTTTTTAATTTTTTCTTATGACTCAATTTTCAAATTAAATAATTTTTCAACTTATTATAAATTTTATTATGCTTATTTGTTTATGTTATCTAAATACTAATATCCATCTATGAATTCTTAAAATTATTCAAAATATTAAAATATTTTTAAAAATTCTCTACTTTTTGATTTATATAAATTCAAAGTCAATTCTTCACAAATCTTTATAAAATCAAAAAACCATTATAAAGGTGATAATTTATTTTTATTTTTTAATAGAACTTAAAATTATAACAAATTTTGATGCTATTATTAATTGTATTTTTCATCTTCTAAATTATTATTTTATTCAAACATTAATGAAAGTATATCTCCATATTCTTAAATTATATTTGTTGCTTTAGATATAATATATTAACTTATGATTTCACTTTTATGTATTCTTCTAGGTTTTATTTTAATTTTACTCAATTCTTCTATCTCTCTCCAAAATATTTATCTTTATTCATTATTAAAAATAGAATTTAATTAATCCTAATTTGAAGCTTTTCTTTTTACAAGAATTTTATCTATTAAGTCTATTAATTTAGGTTCATTAACTGATGATTTAACTTATTCTAAATCATTTTTTATTTTATTTTTTAATTTTTCATCAGCCCAATTAGCCATATAACAATTTAAAATTAAATTTATTTTTGGATTATCTAACTATTTAAGAAATTCTTATAGATCAGATCCTCTATTTTGAAGTGTATTTTAAGGATTATTTAAAACATAAATTATTTTTAATTCCCCTAAAGACACTATCTTATTAAATAAAAGTTCTATTAATAATTAATCCCAATCCCCATTTGTATCCAAAAATCCAGGAAAATCAATAATTAAATGTTTATTTGATTCATTATAAAAGAAATTTGGTTCTTTTGTAACTGATTCTAATCCAGGATTCATATTTGAAAAATTCTTTAAAATGTTTTTTAATTCTAATTCTTCATCAACATTAAGTTTAAACTCTGCTCCACTTAAAAAATTAAAAGTTGTGCTTTTTCCAGATCCTGTTGATCCAACAAATAAAACAACAGAGCCTTAATTTTTTGTATTTTTAGTAAACTCTTCAACTAATTTTTATATTATCTGACTCATTTCCAATAACTTCTTCTCTTCTGGTATATTTTCAATCTTCTTATTTGGTATATCCATAATTAATTTAGAAATATAATCTAAATTGTTCAATTATAATTACATTTTATAGAATAGTAATAGAATTATAGAAAAATTTTAATAGAATTTGAATTATTATTATAATTCTATAAATAAATATAGAATTAAAATTTAGCAAAAACAACATATATTATATTAAATTGATGAAATTGAGTCAAAATATAAAAAAAACCAATAGCCGAGGTCTTTACTTAATTCTTAAGATATTTAAAATTTCATTATAACTCAAATATCAATTAAATGTGATTAATTTATTGATATTCTATTTTCTTTATATTTAAAAAATCATTTTAAAAATATCTTAATAGATATTGATATCTTAAAATTATTTTCAATATTTATGATACTATATATTGACATTAAAGTAATTCTTATGTTTTAAAAACAGTATTGTAATTATTTAAATCTAAAATGGAAATTTATTTATAATAATAACTAAACTTTATTTGAATTAAATTTAAAATGTATCACATTTGGGTTTAGGAAAAATTTTTATTTTTTGAAACAAAATGGAAGTAATAATGATGACTTAGAACTGATATAATTATCTAATTATCATTAAAAGAATGATTATATTATTTAATTGAAAGTTGAAATACCAATTTATCATGAAGTTTGTTTGTAAATTGATTAAAACAGTTTATGTATTTATTGTTAAAGATCTTAAAAAGTTTAGACCATGAGAAATAAACCAAAATAATAAAATAACTAAATTTAGTTTTCCGATATTATTATTCAGACTGACCATGGCAAATTTCTAGTTTTGAGGCTAATTATTCTGTTTAAAAATATAAATAGTGACTTCATTAAAGAAGTGGTGAGAAATTTGGTTTTCTGTTTTTCTATTAAAATCCTTTNCAGATCCTGTTGATCCAACAAATAAAACAACAGAGCCTTAATTTTTTGTATTTTTAGTAAACTCTTCAACTAATTTTTATATTATCTGACTCATTTCCAATAACTTCTTCTCTTCTGGTATATTTTCAATCTTCTTATTTGGTATATCCATAATTAATTTAGAAATATAATCTAAATTGTTCAATTATAATTACATTTTATAGAATAGTAATAGAATTATAGAAAAATTTTAATAGAATTTGAATTATTATTATAATTCTATAAATAAATATAGAATTAAAATTTAGCAAAAACAACATATATTATATTAAATTGATGAAATTGAGTCAAAATATAAAAAAAACCAATAGCCGAGGTCTTTACTTAATTCTTAAGATATTTAAAATTTCATTATAACTCAAATATCAATTAAATGTGATTAATTTATTGATATTCTATTTTCTTTATATTTAAAAAATCATTTTAAAAATATCTTAATAGATATTGATATCTTAAAATTATTTTCAATATTTATGATACTATATATTGACATTAAAGTAATTCTTATGTTTTAAAAACAGTATTGTAATTATTTAAATCTAAAATGGAAATTTATTTATAATAATAACTAAACTTTATTTGAATTAAATTTAAAATGTATCACATTTGGGTTTAGGAAAAATTTTTATTTTTTGAAACAAAATGGAAGTAATAATGATGACTTAGAACTGATATAATTATCTAATTATCATTAAAAGAATGATTATATTATTTAATTGAAAGTTGAAATACCAATTTATCATGAAGTTTGTTTGTAAATTGATTAAAACAGTTTATGTATTTATTGTTAAAGATCTTAAAAAGTTTAGACCATGAGAAATAAACCAAAATAATAAAATAACTAAATTTAGTTTTCCGATATTATTATTCAGACTGACCATGGCAAATTTCTAGTTTTGAGGCTAATTATTCTGTTTAAAAATATAAATAGTGACTTCATTAAAGAAGTGGTGAGAAATTTGGTTTTCTGTTTTTCTATTAAAATCCTTTTAATAAGCAATTAAGATGGCTATAATTACCATAAATTCTAGATCTGACATACTGAAATAAGATTTATTATGTATGAAATATTATCATTTATCATATCTCTCCTTTATTTTCACTGTATTTACTACTTCTAATTAAAGGAAAATATAACAATTAAGGTTTAACAATAACAAAAGATTGTTAATTTAATATAGAAATTAACTTCAATTATTGTCAAATGTATATTAATATTCCTGAGCTATGCTGAGTATTCCCAAGCCCAGTTTTTAAAAAGTTAAATTCAGATAATTTTTCTTATTTTATCGATAAGAGTTTTTTAGAATTCCTTGAAATTTTTGCTCTCCTTACTACAACTTTTCCTTTATATGTCTAAATAACTATAAAGCGTTTAAATCTGTAATATCTCGCTTTCGATATTTAGAGTTAATTACAAATCTATCTTTTCAATAGCAAATAGCGTATCTTGAAAACTAAAAAGGCTAGTAAGAAAAATGGTAAATATATCAATTAGTATAATCAAGAATTTCATTTATTAAAAGAATTGCAAACCCTAAAATAATCAGAAATTACAAAATAAGAGACAAAGGTAAAGCCAAAACTAAACTAGAAATAATCTTAAGTTAGGTTTGCAGTTTTTGAATAATTTACTAAAAGTAATA